ATAAAATACATTAATCTTTGTCATTATTATCATTATTATTATCATTATTATTATTATTATTATTTACCCATCTCTTATTATTACTATTATTATTATTATTATTATTATTATTCAAAAGCATTTTCGTATCATTTAACTTCCTAATTGATTACCGACTAATTTTTTTTTTTTTTTAAATCAATATTCAAAAGTCAAAGTCCAAAAAAAAAAAAATTAGAATTATTATTATTATTGTTAAAAATCGACCGGGGGTGGGGAGAGAGGGGAAATTGGGGGGTGGGAGAGAGGGGGGAGAAAAAATTTTTTATCAGAACAACATTTTGTCGAATTGTGATTACGTAATCAATAAATCATACATATATATATATATATATATATATATATATATATATATATATATATATATATATGATTTTGCACACGTTTAACAAAACAACATATATATTTTTCCATTGTGAGGTCGTTAACAATAATAATAATAATGATGATGATGATAATAATGATAATAATAATAATGACAACAACAACAACAACAACAACATCCTTACAAGTTTTTTTTTCATTAAAACAACGAATAACAATAAATTTGACAAAAAAAAAAAAAATTTTTTTTTTTTTTTTCATAATTATTATCGTCACATTCACATGTCATCTCTAGTAATTATTTGCATATTCGTGCATTCAAACTGTGGTGATTTCATTCGGATCATTGCCCTCATTGTTTTTTTTTTTTTTTTTTTATCTGGAGACGACGGATTCGTACATTATTATTATTATTATTATTATTTTCGTACCTGACAAAAACATTCAATGCACGCGCCGTAATAAATAATTATTGACAAACAATATCGAAATCGTGTAAAAAAAAAAATTCTTGTTTTTTTTTTTTATGTGAAAACACATTGTCTAGATTTTTTTCCTTATGTGGCTTTGATTAAACGTCATAATAATAATAATAATAATAATAATAATAATAATAATAATAATAACAATAATTTTTTTGCATTGTCGTCGTTATTAACAATCATTATCAATCGACGATAACAACAAATAAAGACGACACGATTCGTTTTGTATAATATTGAGATCAAATCAAAAAAAATTTGTTGTTATTTGTTTGTTGTTTGTTGTTGTTGTTGTTAATGATGCCTGTAGAAAAATTTTTTTTTTTACGTTTCATTAAACAAAAAAGAAAATTTATTTACTTTATTATTATTAATATTACGATGATATACTCGTGATTGATTTTTTTTTTTTTTTAAATAATTGTTTATTATTAAAGTTATGGATGAATGATTTGATTGATGTTATACCGGAAAACTTATTAACGTTACAAAAAAAAAAAAATTATGTGGGTATTTTCAAAAGAAAGAAACCTCAAGTGACAATTAATCATTATTAATAAATAAATAAATAAATAAATAAATAAATAATAAATAAATAAAAACTTTAACCTACTTTGATTGTATTTATATATTATATTGATCGATGGAAAATTATTTTCCGCTTTCGTCAACACAATATTAATGACGTAAGATGAAAATTTAATAAAAATTTTCCACCATTTAAAAAACAATAAGAAAAATTTTCTTTTACCTTATTATTATTATTATTTATTTATTAATAAATAAATAAATAAGAATCAACGGTTCAAACATGATGAGGTACGACTTCTCTCTCTCTCTCTTATCCGGTACCTAAAAAACAAAAAAAAAATTTATCAATATCGAATTATCATTATT